TAACATCTTTCTGCCTGCATACTCTCCCTTTCTAAACCCGATAGATGAGTTTTTTTCGGCATGGTGGTGGAAAGTGTATGGCCAAGAACCTTATATCCGTGCTCACCTCCTCCAGGCCATGGAAGAAGCCTGCCTAGACATATCAGTAGATGCACGCCAGGGGTGGATCAGGCTAGGGCCAATATAGCCTGTGATGTGGACGAGATTCTCTGGCCTGACCCAGAACAAAGACGGGATGCTGAGGCGGAATTTTTTTTTTTTACAGTTGTGCTGTGTAGTACATGAATGAATAAAAATGTGCCAATGTATACAGTGGTTGTGTCTTTTGTGTTCATGTGAAAAGATTTTTGAGGGGGAGAACCACAAGCAACAACTTACCAGTTTTGGATATATTGTTTTGGATTTATTGCACCAGTGTGTAATACTATGTTGTAGTGTGTGTGTTTTTGAAAGCTTGTGTGTGATGTCTGAGGGAAAAGTTTGGTTTTATTGCACCAGTGTGTAAGACTATGTTGTAGTGTGTATGTGTTTTTGAAAGCTTGTCTGTGATGTCTGAGGGAAAAGTTTGGTTTTTCAGCAAGAGTGAATGGTTTTGAGTGTAGAGTTTCATTTTGACCTGAAAATAGGATGTTTGGGGAATTGGGTGAGACGTTATGGATTTGTGTTTACTGTTTTGAGAATACGAGGCATAGTTTCAAGAAATGTGTTTAAGCAATCAAGAAAAACTGTAAATATATACTGTAGGTATAAGTAAATAAATATATATGTAAATATATTACTAAGTATAAACATAAATGTACTACATATTCTACTAAACATAAATATACTAAATGTTGCTAAATGTAAAATTTAGTCAATATAAATGTAAATAGAATTAATTTTAAATATACTAAATATATTAATATAAATGTAAATATACTTAAAATATTGCTAAATATAATATGTACTAAATACAAATACTACTAAACATAAATGTAAATATACTAAATATATTGCTAAATGTAAATGTTTTAAATATACTTATATATGTAAAAAAAATTACAAAATGTAGACACTGAATATATTGTTAAATATAAAATGTACTATATACATGTTAACAGATATAAAATGTAAATATACTACCAGATAAAAAAAGTTTGTCTTAAGATTTTAGTTCTTTGATTTAATTGAAGATGGTAATGAATTTCGTCTGATTTGTAGCTCTGCTGATTTGGAGGCGATGGTTGCGATGAGAGACCGTCACATTCAGCGTCTGGAACAGGAAGTGCGACGACTTCAGCGTCTGCTGCAGGAAGTCCAGGAGCGAACGGCCAATCACGTCGCTCTGCTGCAACAGCAACTGGCCAATAAAGCACAGCATATAGAGGTAGAAACATTTCATAATGAGGAGCGGTTATTAAAGGAACAGTTGACTCGTTTACTCTCACTAACGTCCCGTCTGTTCGTTAGAGACTTCAGGCCAAGTTACAGTCCCAGCAGGACTACGAGAAGATCAAGACCGAGCTCAGGTAGTACACAAATATACTCTCTCGAGAATGCAAGAATATGGAATTAAAAATGATCAGAATGTCTCTTTATTGCGACTTTCAGGACTCTTCGAGTGCTGATGCAAACCACAGGTGAAGTTTCGGTAAGAGAAACACACTTTTCACTTTTTTTCTTATATACTATGTTCGGGGTCGTTTGCTGGCAGCGCCACCTACTGGTGAAGAATGATTGTCTTAAACTCATATTAGTTATATTAACTCTCTCTCAGGTGTTTTCTCCTCCGTCAGATGTCAGGAGCGTCTCTGTTGATAACGGTGAGGGTTTCATCCACTTCACAAATGTTTTTGTCAGCCAAACTCCTTTGAGCTGAAATATTTACTTGAAGTCTCCGAGATTTGAAGTTAATATATCAATAATTTAATAACACATTCACATGTTCACGGTTCTCTGATATCAGTTAATGGTCACATGGCATGCGGGTAAATAAATAAAATATTTCCGCTTTATTAGTAAGTGTTCAATTTTGATTTTTAAATTATTTATTCTCATTTCAACTTAAATATTTAGACTTTTGGTGTTTTATTTTGATTTTCTTTTATTTGTAAATTATTTATTTGAATTAGAGGTTATTTTTAGTAAGAGATTTCTTAATTTGTTTCATTTAAAAATGCATTTTAATTTAAAATTCTCAAATATAATGTCAGCTTTTTTAGTAAGTTTTATTTTTAGTAGTTTTTTTTTTATTCTAATATTAATTTATTTCAAATCAAATATTTCAGCGTTTTAGTGTTTGTTTTTATTTTAGTTATTCATTTTAATTACAAATTAATTTTTTTAATTTATTTTAAAATTCTTTCTTCTAATTTATTTAAAATAAAACATTATTTTTTATATTTTAAAATTAAACAGTTTTATTTTTAGTACTTTTTATTTTTAAATTAGTCCAATTTTAAATTTTCAAATAATACATATAAGATTTTTTTGTATTTTATTTTGAATTTTTTTTAGTTCAAAATCATTTGTACACATTTAAATTTACTTCAAATAAAATATTTAATTATTTACTTATTTAATTATTTACTTTTTTATTTTCGGCAACTCACAAACCCGAGTTTGAGAAAGCCTGTATAATGTGACAACCTTAAACTAAACATAGTCTATTCTGGCCAACAACAAAAAAAATCTATACTACAGTCTAATTCACATAGAAAGAGATAATAAAAAAATAAATCATAAAAAAACTTAATTTGCTTTATAAAAACTGTAAAGTATGTTAGCAATGCTGTTATATTCTGATGTGTTATACCTTTGCTCATTGACAGATCCTGTGATCCAGAAAGAAACGCCAGAGTTTCATCACTCCACTGGGAAAGAAGAAGCCCTGAATGAATCTTCCTCTTTCATCTCTGGGTCACCAGCATCATCTTCATCATCTCTGAGTGTCCAGAGCTTCATTAAAGAGGAGACAGACTCTGGTGATGATGAGCAGGAGTTTGACACGGCTCGATTAGCTCAGCAGGTCAAAGAGGCTCTTCAGCGGCTGAACATTGGCCAGCGGGTGTTCGGTCACTATGTGCTCGGTCTCTCTCAGGGAACCGTCAGCGACATACTGGCCCGACCCAAACCCTGGAGCAAACTGACCAGCAGAGGAAGAGAACCCTTCCTGAGAATGAAGCACTTCCTGTCCAACGAGCACAGCATCCAAATGCTCAGCGTCATCCAGGAAAGACTGAGAGGTGAGAGGATGCATGGATGGATGCGTGGATGAATGCACGGATGGATGCATGGATAAATTGATGGATGGATGGATGGATGGATGGATGGAAGGATGAATCGATGGATGGATGAATGCATGGATGGATGGATAAATGCATGGATGCATGGATGAATGGATGGATGAATGCATGGATGGATGGATGCATGGATGGATGGATGGATGCATGGATGGATGCATGGATAAATCAATGCATGGATGGATGAATGGATGAATGCATGGATAAATTGATGGATGGATGGATGCATGGATAAATCGATGCATAGATGGATGAATGCATCGATGGATGGATGAATGGATGAATGCATGGATAAATTGATGGATGGATGGATGGATGAATCGAAGGATGGATGGATGGATGCATGGATGGATGGATGGATGGATGGATGGATGGATGGATGCATGGATAAATCAACGCATAGATGGATGGATGGATGGATGGATGGATGAATGGATGAATGCATGGATAAATTGATGGATGGATGGATGGATGAATCGAAGGATGGATGGATGGATGCATGGATAAATCGATGCATAGATGGATGAATGCATGGATGGATGGATGGATGGATGCATGGATGGATGCATGGATAAATCAATGCATAGATGGATGGATGGATGGATGAATGGATGAATGCATGGATAAATTGATGGATGGATGGATGGATGAATCGAAGGATGGATGGATGGATGCATGGATAAATCGATGCATAGATGGATGAATGGATGGATGGATGGATGAATGATGAATGCATGGATGAATGGATGAATGCATGGATGGATGAATGATGAATGCATGGATAAATTGGATGGATGAATTGATGGATGGATGAATGATGAATGCATGGATGAATCGAAGGATGGATGGATGGATGCATGGATAAATCGATGCATAGATGGATGAATGCATGGATGGAGAGATGGATGGAAGGAAGGATGGATGGATGAATGCATGGATGGATGCATGGATGGAGAGATGGATGGAAGGATGGATGGATGGATGAATGCATGGATGGATGGATGGATGAATGGATGGATAAATTGGATGGATGAATGGATAAATTGGATGGATGAATGGATGAATGCATGGATAAATTGGATGAATGCATGGATAAATTGGATGGATGAATGGATGAATGCATGGATAAATTGGATGGATGAATGGATGAATGTATGGATGGAGAGATGGATGGATGGATGAATGCATGGATGGATGGATGGATGGAGAGATGGAGAGATGGATGGAAGGATGGATGGATGAATAAATGGATGCATGCATGGATGGCTGCATTAATTTTAAAGTTTTACTAATTTTGTTGCTTTTAACTTATTAATTTTTTGTTTTTTTAAACATGTCTATATAGTTTAATTTTGTTTTACTTCAAGTTAAACCAAATTGTCATTGCCAGTCTTGTCAGCTAGCAGAATTTGCTTTGTTTGACAGTAAATATTGCTTGTCTAAATAAGATTGTGTGTGTCTGGGTCTTGTTTCTGTGTTTCTGGGCGCCTTCGTCCCGTGGGTTGGTCCTCCAGACAGGAGCTCAGATGACGTGATCAGGAACATTCTGGATCAGAGCCGTCTGGAGAGTCAGTGCATCTCATATCTCGGATCTCACTTTTAAAACAATTTAGTATTCTTTGTAAATATAGAGAGTTATCACATCAACATTTGGGATTTAAATATGGTTAATGCAATTGTTTTTAAATTTATTTTTTTTAAATATGCTTTTGCATGATGGAATATTATAAGTTCCATTCTGATTTGTGTGATTTCTAAAGACCTCTTAAACAGTAATGTAAATCAATATTTGTGTCTAATTTAGTGAATTCAAAACTTTGATTAAGTGAGGTTCATTAATATATGAGGTTTAGTTTCAGTTGTTTTAGTGCATCAAGTTAAACTAAATGATAATAAGAAACGTTGCCTTGGCAACTATCTGAACTTTTTTTTTATTTTTTTTTATTTAATTTTATTTCTGTTACCATTTATTGCAAGTAAGATTTTTTAATAACTAAAATAACCCTGATTAAAAATGTTTCCTTGCTAACTAAAACTGCAATAAATAAGTTTCATTTGAAGTGCTAAAAGTATTACTTAAACTAACATGGCAATAACAATAAATGTAATGTAGAAAATAATTTTAAATTGAAATAAGCATTAACTGAAATAAAAAATGTAAGAAAAACACATTTTTCAACTTTTTCCAGAAAATTTATTTTTCTTTTTGTTTATTTTAACCTAACATACTAAATAACTAAAACTGAAATAAAAATAAAAATTAATAAACTATATGACGTTGTTTAGATTTTTTTCAGTTAACATTTACTTATTTGAATTAATGAATGTTTTTTTTTTTTAGTTAACGATAATAACCCTATTTAGAAATGTTATCTTGGCAACTAACTAAAATAAATAGGTCTAGGTAGGAGTACTAAAATGACCTAAACTAAAATGGAAATAAAAACAACTTGAAACTATTAAAAAATAAATAAACATTAGCTGAAAATAAAATAAAATTAAAAAAAACTTTACTAATTTTGTTTCAGCTAGTTGCAGCATTTCCAATTTTTATTTAGTTTAAATTTAAGTACTAAAAAATTACAACTGAAATTAAAACAAACTATATAAATTACTGTAGCTTTAATTTATTTTGACTTGTTTAGTTTGAGTAATTTTATTATTGCAACTTCAACTCATTTCAGTTACCAACATTTCTAATCATGGTTAAATAAAACTTAATCATAATAATATATATAGAGAGAGAGAGAGAGCAAATTCAGTGAATTCAACATTTGCGATGCTAACTAAATCTGAAGATCACCTGAGATTCATTCTTTGGTGTCTGTGGTGTGTTTCAGTGCTGGATGATGATGATGAAGATGATGATGATGAAGGCAGCAGATGTCAGCACAGTGGAGACGAATCACACAACATCATCAGGAACATCCTGCAGCAGGCCAAACATGAGATGCAGACGCAGACGCCTGCGATGAACGACGCACCAGTCCAGCAGGAAGAGGAGGATTATGGGACACTGGAGCCCAGCGTTCAGTCCCTGGCTGATTTTGTCCAAAGCATCATCCAGAAGGTCAAATGTGAAATAAATGAAGATGCTGAGCCATCAGTTTCTCCGTCCTCTGTGAGCCGCTCGTTCCAGACGCTTCCAGCGGATCCGGGTCAGACAGCACAGGGGTTTAAGATGGAGACGCGTCAGAGCTGTGAGCTTCAGTCTCTGCATCTGGACACGTTCAGCATCACGCAGAGAGTCAAAGAAACTCTCACTGTCAACAACATAGGTTTGTGTTCACTGCATTTAAAGCAAATGATGAACAGAAATCAGAGTTTGTGCTCCAGACATCAGTGACTCCTCGGGTCAATGCTTCATTTTCACCTGCTGGGGCAGAAAACAGGAGAAAACATCCCACAGAGGCACATGAGCAACATCTACAGACCAGAAGCATTTATTGTTACCGTTATCTAAATATTTTTTAATTAACTGAAAAAAAATTTCAATTAAAATTCAGTTTGTTTTCATAATTATTTAATTCAGTAATTTAAATAAACATAAAATTAAATATAAATATTAGATGAAAAACAAACTTAAGTCTTAAAAATAACATTTTATTATTAAATCATACTTTATTATTTTAGTATGATTTAGATACTTTTATAATTTTAATTATGTATATATATATATATATATTCAGTTTTAATTTTAATTTTAAAATTCTAATAATATTGCTGTGTTTTTGTATTTTTTTTAAATGTCTAATTTATTTCATATAATTTTAATTTTAGTTATTTTAGTTAAACTAAATGAAAATGAGAAATGTTGTCTGGCAGCTAAAAAAAATTTAATACAAATATATATTTTTAAATATTTAAAAAAATAAATAAATAAAGCAAATAACAAAATTACAAAAAAATAACTAAAATTAACATTTTTAAAAAATAAATAAATAAAGGCTAATTTAAAATGTTAAAATGCTTTCATTGATGGATATGATTTAAAGAAAATGGTCAATTATATAGTTATCATAAATGGGTATGTAATGTACCAAAAATTTTACATTTACATTTGATTTATAATTTCAGTACTTTGTTATTTTTTTCATATTTTTTGTTGTTAATTTAATGTAAAAAAAAAAAAGATAATTTAATTTAAAGAAAGTAAATTGTTGGTTGTATATTTGTTTGATAACTACTTATGCAAGTTTACAAATATTCAGTTTGGTTTGGAGACTAAATGGTAAAGAATGATATGAAAGTTTGCTAATAAAGTCTCTTTTGGTGACTGATGAAGTTGAAAAACTATGTCTGAACCTAATTTTTACATCGAGATATTTTTGTATTCATAATATCATATTTCTAAAGAAAAGTGTTGAAAAATATAATTATCATGAAATGTACCAAAAGTTGTACATTTAATGTATAATCTGAATGTATTTCTATGTAGTAGTGCTGTTCCTGATTGTTGTTGTTCTGGCAGGTCAGCGCGTGTTTGGTGAAGAGGTTTTGGGTTTAACACAAAGCTCTGTGTCTGAACTGCTGTCGCACCCCAAACCCTGGACTAAACTCAGTCTGAAGGGAAAGGAGAACTTCATTCGGATGCATCTGTGGCTCCAAGACCCCCAAAACATCCAGAAGCTCAATGCTATGAAGAAGACGGACCACAGAGGTAAATGTGTGCTTGATTTACTCTTCCTCAGTCCATCTGAGATGTAGATGAGTGTGTTTCATCATCAGATTTGGAGAAATGTAGCATTGCATCAGTGTCTCAGCAATGGATGCTCTGCAGTGAATGGGTGCCGTCAGAATGAGAGTCCAAACAGCTGATAAAAACATCACAATAATCCACAAGTAATCCACAGCACTCCAGTCCATCAGTTAACATCTGGAGAAGACAAAAGCTGAAACACATCCAGCATTAAGACGTTTTTAACTAAAATATGAGTCCATAATCCATAATAACGCTTCCTCCAGTGAAAAAGTGCATCTCCTGTTGTCTCTCACATCAAAATCCAGCCACATATTTGTTTAGAGCTTTTCACTGGAGGAAGCATTATTTATGGATTATGGATTCATATTTTAGTTAAAAAAACTCTTGATGATGGATTTGTTTCTTCTCCAGATGTTAACTGATGGAGTGGATTATTGTGATGTTTTTATCAGCTGTTTGAACTCTCATTCTGACGGCACCCATTCACTGCAGAGCATCCATTGCTGAGACACTGATGCAATGCTGCATTTCTCCAAACCTGATGAAGACACAAACTCATCTACATCTTGGATGGCCTGAGGATGAGCTCATTTTCATTTTTGGGTGAACTGTTCCTTTAAACGGTCCTCATTAGTGTTAAATGTTCTTTCGCAGCTCGTCTCAAACGTGCTCTGATCGGATCAGAATGTGATTCACAGAGGTGTTTGGATGTGGGAGGACAGGGGTTTTGTGATCGCTGGGGACAGTGTGAGGCGATGAAGAGGCCGCGTGTCATCCTCAGCGCTCAGGAGAGAGAAGCACTGATAGCTGTGTATCAGACGGAGCCGTATCCGTCTCAACACACCATAGAGAGACTCGCAGCACAGCTAGGCCTGCACACTAGCACTGTTAGCAACTGGTTCTACAACTACAGGTTAGTGACAGCTTGATCTTTCAGAATAAAACAGTTCAGTCTAGATCAATGGCTCCCAAATGGGGTTTGTGAGTTGATGAAAAGCCAATAATTAAATAATTTAAATGTGGATGCACAATTAGTCAAAATTAAATCACGTTGTAGATGATACGTTTTCCCAACATTTCTGTGGATAGATGTTTACAGCATATCACCAGAATTCGGCCAAAATAAAAGCTTGACGATTTGAATGTTTGAAAGAAAAGAATGTAAGAATAAATATAAATGTGTATATTTAAATAAAATAATTATTAGACCTATAATTATCAATTTTCTTTTTTATTTGAGTTAAAACAATAATATACTCATATTAAAAAAATATTTTTTTAATATTTTATTTTTATTACATATAATCTATATAATTTATATATACAGAGAGAGAGATGCACATATGCTTAATATAAAATATAAAAAAAAAAATAAAAATAAAAAAAAAATATATATATATATATTATAGAGCTGCATGTACACAGGGCTTATGTATAATTTGAAATTGTATAATATTCAAATGTGTGTATACACAACATGCACACACAGATATAAAATATTGAAAATATATTACTATATTTAATATAAAATATATAAAAATATTTTGTATTATATAAAATATATATATACAAATGTATTATATTAATATATTGAAAAATCAAAAATGATACAAAATCATTTTAAAATAAAAACAATCAAAATAAAACGATAAAAAATGTCAAGTAACCATTAACCAACATCTGTGAACCTTGAATGTGATCGTGACATTAAAGGGGTCATGAACTGCCTCTGTTTTTTATTTTGTACTGTTTTCTGAGGTCAACTTATGTTATCAAGATTTTTACATCGAAAAACATAATTTAGGAGTAATAGGCTATTTTCTGTGCTGTTTTTGACCCCCTTCATCAGAACGCTCTGTTTGAATAGGCGTAGCGGATTGTAAACTCAGAAGTAAACGCCCACTGCTGTGATTGGCTAATAGTTGTGTATGTTTGACAGCCTATATTCCTCACAGATGGACGCTCATAGATAGGTCAAAAATGCATAAATACTCACATCAAACGATCTGTTTAACAGACAAAGCAATAGTGAGCATGTAATGAAAACAGTTACTCATTACTGTCGGATCCAATATAGTCACACAGCATCGTCTTTTAGTTTCAATCTTTTTGAAAATCCTGCGTCGAATTGTGGCTTGTTTGTAAACGAATCAGCTGTAAAATTAAGTGAACAAACTTAAGTGACTGAGTTCTTACTGACACGGTCTGGATCTTCATTAAAAATAAAGTTCATCCACTC